ACCCCTCATTTTTTTCTTTACCTCTTCTATTTCATCAAATTGCTGCTTTTCAGATCCCTCTGCACTCACAGAAACAAAAAGAAGTCACACGGAGCGAGGTCAGGTGCGTGGGGCATGCTGTTTTTGCCCAAAACCGGCACACTGAGATGACTGTGTTAGCAGGTGCATTGTCAAGATGTTAAAATACTTGAGTTTTTCCCATAGAGCTGTCATTTTAAGCTGTGTTCAACATCACAAAAGCTTCTGCCACGTTTTTCTTGAGCCGGAAACAAAATTTCACAGCTGCATGCTGTTCTCTTAAATTGGCCACCACAAAGAACAAGGTTCCAGCGAACCTGCTTTTACGAAAAAATGCACTGAAATTCATGGTGGCCAGAGAGAACCTTACCAGGGGACACCACTGGGTACACTTTCTTAGAGGGGGTTGCTTGATGCTCACTTAGTGGGGAGAATGCATATTACAAAAGTGGACCTTTTTTTGTTTTTTGGGGGGTGGGTAGCCCTTCATATGCTGTTTTAAGGTGCAGTATCTTAGGAAGTAAGGTACCGGTTTATCTCTGACATGCCTTGAGTGCTTAACATATATTCTGTTTGATTGTGGTAGAACTTTCCATTGGTAGGAAAAAGCTATTACAGTTTGTTGGTTTATATAGCCCTAAGATTATAGTAAAGGGAGTGTGTGTGGGGGGGGGGGGGGAGCTGACATCAAGGGCTCAATAGAAAATAAATGCCTAGAAAAAAATGATGGCAACATATATACACAAATGTACTTGATACAATTGATGTATGGATTGTTACAAGAGCTGAAAGAGTCCTCAATAAAATGTATGTTGTTTTTAAAATATATATATAGTAAAGGAAAAGTTGAAAAGAGTTGGGATAGTAGTATTTCAGTAATCAGTTCTTTGGTATGATGTGCTGTTTCCTTTTTTTTTTTTTAAGATTAAGGGCAATCTTTTCAAAAATATTCAATCAGCTTTGAAACACATCTATTATGTAAGGAACCAAGCAGACAGGAAAAAACAATAAAATGGACAGGTGTTTGGTTCCACAGGTAAAAGATGAGACTCTTTTTCCATAAATATTAACAGCCTTAGAATCAGTTGAGTTAGTTAGTTTATTGTGCCAACCTGGCCGATAAACACATGGGATTAATTGAAGGGCAGAGGGATAAATGGCTCTGAGAGCCTCACATTTCCAGTTCTTGGGTCTCTTGCTTTGTTTGTGATGGTCACACCAGGGTGCAGCTGCTTAGCCAGTTCCCTGCTTCAACTGACAAGGCTCACTTTCTGCAAGACATCCCTGAGGAGAAGCCACATGGACCTACTTGGATGCAACCCTGGGTGCTTGAGCAGTCCTGTGGAGACCCCTGCCAGCACTGAGATGCTTACACATTCACTGACTCGGCTTTCCTCCTGCAGTCGGCATCATTGCATCTATTTGTGAGATGGAGGAGGACTTTGTGGATTGGTGTCAGACACATGCATTAATGTTGGACTTGTGGGCTTGGGCAGCACTGGGTTGGGATGTTTTATTGATGTGCACTGAACCTATATAAAACTCTTATACATGAGTTTCTGTGGATTTGTTTCTCTAAAGTACCCAGACTAACACAGAAGTTGACATGGTGGTTCTATTTTAAAGTGTTCAATTCTAAATTAAACTCCAAATAAGTTGCATTTAATACAACAGAATTAACTGGTACAGAGATTGCTACTCACATTTAAATGCAAATTCATGGTTTCTAATTTACTTGCATATTTATTTTCACACTTAACAGTGTGTATCGAAGTCATCTTTAGATCCAATCATTAATATGTAATTGTATGGATCATAAAGGCAAAAACTAATTCCACTGCCATTGAATGGATTATGACTCACAGAGACCCTACATAGGATTTCCAAAGCTGTAAATATTTATGGGAACAGACAGTCTCCTCTTTCTCTAGGAGGAGCTGCTGGGCTTGATCCACTGATTTTATAATTAGCGGTCCAATACCCAACAGCACTACCAGTTTTGTAGGGGCGTTTAATAAATGTTTATCTGAATTGATGAGGCAAAAGTAGTTATAAACTTTAGGTCAGTGTTTTAGCTTGTTACAATCAGTTTGACAAATTGTTTTTTATTTTTTGTCTCCTTTTCAGGTCAACTTTGATATTCATCTCATTTTCTTGCTATAGTAGTGCTACCCAATGTAACTCTTTATACTGCTTTATTGATTACAATGATTATGGGCAACTCCTTCATATACACTTTGTATCCTGATCTGCAGATAAGGATGTTTAGACCAAGAGTTTAAGTGCCCAAGAGCAAGAACACATGACTAGTAAGGAAACTAAGACATAGGTTTTGAGATATCTTGTTCATTGTTGATTTCATTGTGTTAATCTTCCTATAGCTAATTAATTAGCATCCCTCATTTGGTGTGTAGCAATTTATATTTTATCCTTATTCAGTGTGTATCTCCAGAACGGATCTTTAAGTTCAGCAAGAGAATTTTTCATACATCCTCAAAGATGTAAAGTAAAATCTTATAGGGTTTTAACACTTTAAAATTAATATTATTTAAATTCTCATACAATAGGGTACCCAAAAAATACCGGATAAAAGCTCCACCCAGTGGAGCTTTCATAGTACATTTTCCCTGGTAGGCAAGCATCAAGCAACTCACTATGAGTTAGTGCACCCAGTGGTGTCATCTGGGAAGGTTCTCTATGGTCAGTGAATTTTTTCATAGAAGTAGTTTTACTCAATCCTCATTTTTTTGTGATGGCCAATTTGAGAGAACAGTATGTGGCTGTGAAATTTTGTTTCCTGCTCAGGAAAAATGCCACAGAAACGGTTGTGATGTTGAACACAGCTTATAAGGACAGCGCTATGGGAAAAACTCAAGTGTACAAGTACTTTTCTTCTTTTAAAAAAAAATCGAAATGTCAATTGATGATAATCCTTGTTCTGGACATCTGTCAACTTCCCTAGTGGATGAATGTGAACTCATAGAGCATTTGGAGTTCGTTCCACCAAGTCAGACTGTTAATCAAGTTTTCTACTTAGCGGTTCTGAAAAGATTGCCTAACAGTGTAAAGCAAAAAAAAAAAGGCCTGATTTGTGGTAGATGGGGATCTGGTTTTGCCACCATGACATGCACTGTCCCACGCAGCCATCTCAGTGCGCCAGTTTTTGGCAAAAAGACCCAGCATGCTTCTCTCGTCCGCACACACCTGACTCACCCAACCTCGCTCTATGTGACGGCTTGTTTCTGTGAATGCAGAGGGATCGGAAAGGACAGCAAATTGATGAAGTAGAAGTGAAGAAAAAAATGAGGGAGGTGCTGTCAGCCATACAAACAGATGAGTTTGAAAAATGTTTCCGAGAATGGAGTTGCAGAGTTGACAAATGTAGGAAATGTAATGGAGAGTACTTTGAAGGTGATAAGGTTGTTTTGAAAAAAAAACATGGGTACCACCTCGTATATATTGTTATACCAAACCATTGCTGTCAAGTTGATTCTGACTCCACTAGAAGTCTGTATAGGGATTTTTGAGGCTGGAAATCTTTTTGGAAGCAGGTATTCTTACCTTTCTCCCATGAACTGGATAATGGGTTTGAACCACTGATTTGGGCAGTTAGCAACATGAAAGTGCTACTTGTCAGGATTTACTCATACTAATCTTTGAGAAAATATGCATTAGTCGCACATACATGAGTGCTTTTATCTGCCAGGTCATATAGTAGATTGTGTGGAGTGTAATCAAAAGAACCAGCATGCTTGTGAAGGTAGACAGTAGTTTGCTTGGAGGAGCTGGGGGCATGGGAGATAAGGAGAAAGTGTTCTTTATAGGATTAAAACAAAAAAAACCCCACTGTGATTGGAGGAAGTAGTTAGTGTAGCTGGAAACTTGACTGAAGGGAAGTTTCATGTGAGAAGAAGCTGGAGTGGGAGACCTCAGAGAGCATAGAGATCCTATTGGTTTTGGTGTATCTTAGAAATTTAACCTTTTACCTAAGGATATATGGCTTGACTGAACAAAAGACTTGTATAGTAATATAATAAAAAGTGCTTGCTTCAAGGCACTAGGGATGGTCTCCAAATGGTGACCCCATATAGGACAGTTTCTGAGACTGCTTACTGGATTAGAGCCTCATCTTTATTCCACAGAACAGCTGATGGTTTTGAACTGCTCAGCATGGGGTCACAGCCCAAGGTGTAACCATTTGTGGCACCAGGGCTTCTGTTAGGGAGGGTCTGGACTCAGGAGATACTTACAATTACAAGATAAAATTACAAGTCTTAATGATGTTTGGACGGAGATAAATGGGAGAACTTCCAAGGATAATTTGTAGGTTTCTGGTTTAGTTAAGTAATAGCAGTGTCACTGGGAAACTTGGCCGGGACAACAAGGAAGTAGATCAAGCAATCGAGTTTTGGAATTTTGAAGGCATCTAAGAAGATATCTGAATTAGGTGATTTAAAATATAGGTCTAGGGCTAAATAAAAGGAGACCTCGGAACTATGGTAGCAATGTGTGAGTTATAGATAAGTAATAATTGTATTACCTATCTATAGATAGGTATTTATCGATAGGTAATAATTGTATTACCATACGTAAGATGTGTTTTTCTTAGCAATAAAATGATTTCGAAAACAGACAACCAAGAAAAGCCCTTTAGGATCATGTTTCATTGAGAGAGGAACTGGTCAAGTATGTCAGAATTGTCTTTTTATACCAGTGTTTTCAGATGCACAGCAGAAGTAGAGAATTTCTAGGATATTAGCATTGTTTGAATTTCGTAGTCTATTTGTCAAGTATAAGAACTGATGTTTTTAAAATATTCACATAGGCAAAGAGTTGTTTTTCCCTACTTTTATCTTTGTTTCCCCAGTCTAGTGTGTTCGTTTATATTTAAGTGCTTTAAAATGCTTCCTATATTGTTGAATTTAAAATATTAAGGCAGTTAAGGCACAATTCTAATATTAAACATGTTTTCTCTTTCATAGGATGGCTGGCTGTGGTGAAATTGATCACTCGATAAACATGCTTCCTACAAATAGGAAACCCAATGAGTCCTGTTCTAATACCACACCTTCTCTAACTGTCCCTGAATGTGCCATTTGTCTACAAACTTGTGTTCACCCAGTCAGTCTGCCTTGTAAGCATGTTTTCTGCTATCTGTGTGTAAAAGGAGCTTCTTGGCTTGGAAAGCGGTGTGCTCTCTGTCGACAAGAAATTCCTGAGGATTTCCTTGACAAGCCAACCTTGTTGTCACCCGAAGAACTGAAGGCAGCAAGTAGAGGAAACGGAGAATATGCTTGGTATTACGAAGGAAGAAATGGGTGGTGGCAGTATGATGAGCGTACTAGTAGAGAGCTGGAAGATGCTTTTTCCAAAGGTAAAAAGAGCACTGAAATGTTAATTGCTGGGTTTCTCTATGTTGCTGATCTTGAAAATATGGTTCAATATAGGAGAAATGAGCATGGACGTCGCAGGAAGATTAAACGGGATATAATTGATATACCAAAGAAGGGAGTAGCCGGACTTAGGTTGGACTGTGACTCTAATACTGTAAACCTAGCAAGAGAGAGCTCTGCTGATGGAGCGGACAGTTTATCAGCACAGAGTGGAACCTCCATTCAGCCTCTAGCATCATCTACTGTGAGGCCACTAACGTCAGTAGATGGTCAGTTAACAAGCCCTGCAACGCCATCCCCTGATGCAAGCACTTCTCTGGAAGACTCTTTTGCTCATTTACAACTCAGTGGAGACAGCATAGCTGAAAGGAGTCACAGGGGTGAAGGAGAAGACCATGAATCACCATCTTCAGGCAGGGTACCCGTGCCAGATACCTCCATTGAAGAAACGGAGTCAGATGCCAGCAGCGATAGTGAAGACGGCTCTGCACTTGTCGCACAGCACTCCTTGAGCCAACAGAGACTTACGGCTCCTAATGCAAGCCAGACAGTATCTGATCGATCTGGAAATGATCGACCAGTAGCAGGGGGTGGAACAGTGAGTGTCAGATCTAGAAGGCCTGATGGACAGTGCACTGTAACTGAGGTTTAAATCAGTCTTCAGCTCACACTCAAGGTTGAAATGGTTCTCTGTAAATTTCTGCCCGCCTAGCATTATACTCATCCCTAGTAGTGCATTGTTGGGGTGGGAAGGGGTATGGGAATGATAGACCTTAATTAAAATGTTTAACAAGCCTCTGAGAAATTTATTTAATGTAAGGAACTTGAGTATGAATAATGAGAGCTGTTTAGTAATAACCCAGTTTTCTTGAGGTGTGTTCATTTTATAGTGTTTTGCTTAATTTCTTTAGTTCTTTTGGCCAGTGTGTATATTATCTGTGCATTAACAGTCCTCATCTGATTCTTGCATTGTGTTACTTTTCTGCATGAATTGACAAAATTACTAAAATTTGGCACCTATAAGATGTTTGGTATCAATACGAGCAGGAAGCTTATTAATGTGAGAATAGATGTGAATTTGGAATTTTAAAATAACCATTTTACTGTAGTTTCTGAAACGGTGATGTAAAAAACACAGCTAATAAGTTTCAGGATTCTTTCTGTAACAACTCATTGTGTTTCCATAGGTTTTGCTGTCTAATCCTTGTAGTTTGAGGTTTTCCTGGATCCACGCTTTTCTTTTTGATTACAAAATTTATAATTTAATAAATACTACAGTTTACCAAAAATAATTCGTCTTTTGTATGAGTCTGGAAAGCAGAGGAAAACATTTGTGCCAAGTTTATACAACAGTGGTGGGTTTGAATTGGTCTTGGTCAGCTGAAATTGTTAGCAGCTCTGAAAAGGTTTATTTCATAGTAAAGGCTATTTAAGCAGAATTTATAGGTAGTATATGTGGACATGAAATTAAAGCCTAGGAGACTGAAATTTCACAGCTGACAGTGTAGACCACAGATGATTTATTTTCCATGTGAGTCTTTGTTAATCTGCATATTAAAATTAGGGATACAAACTCAATTTACACAAATGTGAACCACAAAATCCATTTTTATTTGGTAGTTTTTATAACCTTTGGTGACATAATGTGCATGGCATTTATCTGGCAATCTGGCATATTGGCTCTGGGGAGAAGAAAGAACTTTTAAACATTATTTTCAGATGTGAATTTAATGCTATAAAAATAAAAACTAATATACTTTGGAATTATCTTTACCCTTTGTTGGGTAGGTTAGAGTTGTGACTTAATCCTTTGACTCAACATTCATTTTTTTAGAGTCTGTTACTGAGATGGTCAATTACTTTTAGAGCTAAGTATAAAAGGTTAGTTATTTTTCAGGGGGAAAAACCTGATCAAATGTAAATTTGTTACTAGATATTGAATCTTTCAAGTCTTCCTATATGATTTGATGCAAGATTACTTTAAAACAACAAATAGTAAAAATGTCAGCAGCTGTTCAATTCATTTCCAACTCACTTCATCCACCTCGTGTGTGTCAGCAGTGTAACTTCCATAGCATAATGAAAAAGCTGAGTTTTCCAATGTAGATTGTCAGGTGAACCTCTAAACTTTTAGTTAACAGCCACATATATTAACTGTTGGTATTACTAAGGAACTGCTAAATTCCTTCCAGATGGTGGCTATCATTCAGGAGAGAATTTAAAATAGAAAATTACTAAAAGTTTAAACAACGAAGGCTCCAGATTTATGGTGGAGGAATGTGTGTATGAAGTTAGGCTACGTAAGAAATTCTTTTACTCCGTTTAGAGTAGAAAATGAGAACCACCAGCACACTTGTTACTTTCTTTTCCCTCTTAACTCCTCTTAGCTGCAAGTTCACTCACATTTATGCTAATAAGGACAAAGATTTCTTTTTAATCGTTTTATTAGGGGCTCATACAACTCTTACCACAATCCATACAGACATCAATTGTGTAAAGCACATTTGTACATTCATTGCCCTCATCATTCTCAAAACATTTGCTCTCCACTTAAGCCCCTGGCATTAGGTCCTTATTTTTCCCCCCCCTCCCTGCTCCCCACTCCCTCATGAGCCCTTGATAGTTTATAAATTGTTATTTTGTTATATCTTGCCCTGTCTGACGTCTCCCTTCACCCACTTTTCGGTTGTCCGTCCCCCAGGGAGGAGGTCACATATAGTTCCTTGTGATCGGTCCCCTCTTTCCTACCTACTCTCTCTACCCTCCCAGTATCACCACTCACACCACTGGTCCTGTAGGGCTCATCTGCCTTGGATTCCCTGTGTTTCCAGTTCCTATCTGTACCAGTGGCCATCCTCTGGTCTAGCCAGACTTGCAAGGTCGAATTCGGATCATGATAGTGAGGGCGGGGAGGAAGCATTTAGGAACCAGAGGAAAGTTAAGGACAAAGATTTTTATGGAAAATAACTCTGGTAATGAATTTTGTATAGAAGCTACTTCTAAAACATTTTTGGTTTTTGGCTGACAACTACAGGAATGTGAGGATAGCAGTATTTTTTTAGCTAACAGTTGTATACAAGGAAGTGTCAAAAATTTATAAACAAGTTAAAGTAAAAAGATGAGATTTTCCCCACAAACTTTGAAAGCCCTAATCAAATGTTCCAAATTTCATGGTAAGTATGAGGATGCTTCAGGAAGTACATGGAAATGTTGAATTATCTTTTTATTCATGAACTTTTTGAAGCCCTTTTCAGACAAATGAACTGAAAACTCCACCAGAATAAAGTTATCAAAAACACTGTTAGAAATAAATGTGAACATTACTACTAGTCTTCAAAGTAATTCTGCCATTGTATTTTTATACATATTAACCACTGGAGCTTTTCTTGTAATAGTTCACCTTTTATAAAACTATTTGTTAAATTTCTCTCTCTTAGCAATTGCCGCTAGATTTGCAGGTCCACCCCAGACTGTTTCTAAAAGATCTCTCTCTTTCTCTAATGCCTCCTCTAAGCATAACTCTTTGACTGAGGAAACAGACGATTTCAATGTTCTAATGACTTCTGGTGGCCCTCTGATAAACTGCTGTAGCCATGCTTGTGCCTCTTCTAGAGACTGAGTTGCATCTTTAGACTGTAAGATCTCTTCAACCATTCCTATAGTTAAAGCTTTTTCGGGATCCAGTTTGAGGGCCCCAGTTAACACCTTGAGAGCTTGTCTACTGCCGATTATTTCAACCAGCCGGGTTGTGCCACCCCAACTTGGTATTATACCCATCTCCTTATGGACAAATCTGATCTCACTTTCTGGAGTCATTAACCTGAAAAAGAAAAAGAAAAAACATAATAGCACTTACACATATCTTCTCACTCACTCACTCACTCACTCATACGCATACTTAAGTACATGCTTTACAGGCTTCAAAGTTTGGAAAAATTCCATGAGCTTTCAATCCCATTATTCTATCTTCAGCCTCCTATATTTACCAAACATTCCAATACCTAAGGATTCCTGGTGGCATAGTTAGTGGTTTTACACTATGGACTCTTAACTTCAGTGCCGGCAGTTAGAATCTACCAGCCACCTCAAGGTAGGTTTTCTGTTCCTATAAAGATGTACAGACTCAGAAACCAATGACAATTTTACTCCGTCCTATGCGGACAGCTGTTAATCCAAATTGACCTAGTGTCAATGAGATTTTTTGTTCCAATGCCAGGTTTTGGGAGACTGCAGGAATAGCTGACATAAAATCCATTTGTCCAGGAGAAAAGCCATTAAACAATATGGCAGTGGTGATAATGTTAGAAAGAAGGGGAGAAAAAGGCAAGGAGCCAGGCAATACCTGTGTTGGGGCCTACTCTTTTAGATAGAGAAGGACACTGAATATGTGAGCCAACTACCTGAGGAAGTGAGCCATGCAGATTTGGAGGGGGTGGGGGTGGGTAGGGATCCAGGAAGAGGGAAGTGAACTGCTTAAGTGTCTGGAACAGGCCAAGGTTGTGGGAATAGAGAGTAATGAGGGTTGAAATCAGAGGCACACTTACAGGCATTAGCAAAGATTTTAGATTTTATTTTAAATTGTGAAAACTAGAAAAGGTCCAATGTCTTTCTTGTTCTATTCAGTAAAAAATTTTCAGCGTTTAACAGCATATCACAGTTTTGGAACCCTGTGGGAGCACTGGGTTAAGTGTTGAACTGCCAAATTGTAAGACTGGCAGTTCAAACCTATTTGCCACTTCATGAGAAAAAGATGAGGCTAACTGCTCTTAGATCTAGGTTTAGAAACCCAGTGGAGCATTTCTGCTTTGTCTTACAGGGTTGCTATGAGTTGGAATCAATTCTGGCAGTGGCTTTGTTTTGATGAGCTTATACAATTGGTTAAGGAGCACTGGTGGCACAGTCGCTTGGCTGCTAATTGAAAGGTCAGCAGTCCAAACCCATCGATAGCTCCTCAGGAGAAAGATGAGGCAGTTGGCTTCTGTAAAGATGGCAAACTTGGAATCCCTAAGGGGCCATTCTATTCTGCTCTAGGGGGTCTCAGTAGTTGGAATCAAGCAATTGGTTTGGTGGTTTTTAAAAAAATATCAATTGTTTCAGGAATTTTATTGACTAATCCTTCAAGAACCTTATGATGTAAGTACAATACTATTGTTATCCTCATTTTACAGACTGAGAAACATGTTAAATAACTTAAGGCCATACAGTGTATGACAACCAGGACTGAAATTAGGCAGCTTAGCTTCATTATGTGTGCTTTGAACCGCTAGTCTTCGCCCTCTCCAATAAGTTGAATAGTAAAGGAGAGGTAACAATTTGGAAGCCATGGCAACAGGTTTTACATTTGCCAGTTAAGAATTTGTATAGATAAACATTTATCAAGGCTGTATTATTTAGGGAATGTTGTCAGTTTTATTAGAATTGTATGCTTTCAAGAGATGTTTTTATTATGTCAAACAATTTGGGCCAAATGTATGTCTGAATTTTAATTTTTAGGAAAAGTTAATGCTTTCAAATCACTAATTGCAAAATTAAGCTGTAAGTTGGTTTGGTTTCCACATGCTCAATGTTCAACTGTAGGTGCTAGGTGCCTTGGTTCCGCTGGTCCTAAGCATGACAGCAAATAGATTCTTTGACCCTTTAAACAGAAGTATCCCAATAAAAATATCCAAAACCTCACAAAAGACTAATTTATCAGCCCTCTATAATTGTTTTCTTGATTGCTATGAATTCTTAGAAGGGAAACTTATGCCTCATTATGAAAAATTACTCCTAGGGGTGAATGCCATGAAGATAGACATTTTCAATTTAGATTTTTATACGGGAAGGAAGAATAAAGGTCTAAGAATCTTAATCTGTCCCATAATTATGACAGGAGTACTACTGCTTTCTTACAATGTCAAAAAAAATTTTAAGTGAATAAAAGTTCCAGAAATAATGTCTGATAACCCCAGTGATAGGAATGTTCTTCACAATGAACCTAACCCTGAGATACTAGTCAGAAAGAACTGTATTACTGTTGTAAATTATACTCTGGAATCTATACTGATTTGGGTTCAGAGCTATATTTACAGTAGAAAGTAAAAGGATTATATTAAGAGCAAACTGATTTGAAAACAGCTAAACCTAAAAGACAAACCAACCTGTCTTGTAAGTATGGCCAAAGTGTTCCTTATAGGCAAGGATGGGGAGACTTCATCTTACATTGAACATGTCAAGAGACCCATCCCTGGGGAAGGATATCATGTTTGTTAAAGTAGAGGGAGGGGCAGCGAAGAGAAGAAGGTCCTCAAGGAGATAGATTGACACCACTGGTTGCAACAATGGCGCAAGCATCGGACCGATAGGATGGTGCAGGGCCAGGGAGTTCTTTCTGTTGTATTTAGGGTTGCTATCAGTCGGAACTGACTTGATGGCACCTACCAAGAACAAAACCTAAAAATAGGTTAAAGTCATAAATGTTGGGGTAGCATATAGATGATATTATTGAAACAAAAGTTATCTATGTGGGCATATATTTATATTTGGAAATATAAAGAAGTGCCTGCCTTATCTTCCCTGTACCACATGGTATGGTCCTGATTTTACAATGTGAAGGAGGTGTTTGAATCTATCTTTAGAGTTCTTAACTTTTTAAAAATAACTGATGTGACCAGACTCTTATCCATCCTGTATACAGCACACGTCCAGGGTTTGTATACTGATACATATTTAACATTAATATACAAACTATAGACAACTTACATTTCCAAATAAAGGTAGAAGTAATACTGCATTCAGGTGTCTACACATCTGAAATTGTTATTTTAAGAATTGTGCAATATATTTAAGTAAAAGCACGAGATTAAATACAAATAGGATGCCATAAATTAAAGCTTGGGATTATTTAGGATAAGAGATTGTTGATCCTTCTATTTATAGTGCATGTTAAATGGTAATGATTCACTGTGCTGACATTAGAATATAAAATTATATGGTTAGCAACATCGCTGACCATAATATCTTCCACAATAACTGGAACAGAGACGTTCAATTGTGCAAGAAATTTCTTGGCACCTTTACCCTCCCATTTTCTACCTATCATATTACATTATCAGAAATGTGAGGAATGAGTCCAAAGATTATCCCCATAATTTCACCTTCAATTTCCTACTCTCAACTAAGTTCTTGACAATGCCTGTCAAGAAACTGCCAGAAGAACAAAGTTAGTGGTGAAAACGCTTATTTTTATGTGTGGTGGTAAAATGGAAGAGGAAATGTCTATGATTTTCATAATAATATTCAGCTAATCCTAGCGCGGCTACTATCAAGTTAAAAATGGAAGGGATATGAGTGTGATTACTATGCATGAGTGTTTTATTATGCCATAATAAAACATAAAAACTACCTACAATCAGGTCTCTTGGGACAAACATGTTTACAGCTTTTTCTTTGTAATATACTTGGAACTAATGGGTAACATCTGGAAATGCTAATACTTTGGGCAAAAGGTTATCTATATTCATGAAAATTATGTAAGAGATTGGAAAATAGAAAGGCAGGTTCTAAATTGCAGAGTTGAGAATTGCTTTCAGAGGACGGTGCAAGAATAATTTCTTCTTTACTCTTATGTTATATACCTATCTATATAAATATATTTAAAACCATAAGTGTCCTGTTTTTGTTTCTCTAGAGAACCCTAACAGTCACTGAGTCAATTCTGAGAAAAATTAGAAAAAATTCTATAGTACATGCGTACTGAAGGACTATTTTAATCTTAAGTTCATGCTTTTAATGTTTACGTAATGCCACTAAATGTAAATTATATATTAGATCCTAGTTTTATAAAAAATTAGAAAATTGATCTACTTTTATAACTTAGCAAATAGAGCAAAATATTAGCTACTCATCTTTACACCATCAAATCACTGTCCTTTCAGGCCCCTCTTCATTTGAGAAGTATAGAGAGGCTTTATTAAGGCCAGGGAAAACTCCCAGATGAGTTCCGCAACTCAAGTCGCAGTGCCCATTACCACTATGTTTGTGCTGGGTCTGGACCTGCTGGTCTGTGCAGCCCCTTCCCCTCTTCTCAAGGCCAGAGCTGGACCTGCAGTCCCTGCCTCCGAAGTTCCAGGGAGCTTATCTCTCCAGGCTGGGTCTGAACAGCCCCTTCCCTCAGTGTTCCTGGATGATTGACTCAGAGCACCTCCTGACTCAGACCCTGCAACTGCATCACCCTCTTATCAGCACATACGTCCTTGGGTCAAGCGCTGTACATGTCCCACCACTTCACTACCCAGCACAACTTCCCTGGCCTAACACTGGGTTGTGGAACTCGTCCGGGAGTTTTCCCTCGCCTTAATAAGGCCTCTATACTTCTTAAAACAGTGTGCAACCAAAAAGGCCCAGTTTGTGGCAGGCAGGGGACTGGTTTTGCCACCACAACTGCACTTGTTCACACAACCATCTCAGTTTGCCAGTTTTGGGCAAAAAAACAGCATGCCTCTCTTGCCCAGCACACCTTACTCACTTGACCTTGCCCCGTGTGACTTTCTCAAACGAAGAGGGGCATGAAAGGACAGTGTAAAAGGTGAAGGAAAAAAAGCGAGGGAGGTGCTGTCAGCCATCCAAACAGATGAGTTTGAAAAATGTTTCCAAGAGTGGAATCACAGATTTGACCAATGTATTAAGTGTAATGGAGGGTACTTTGAAGGTGATAAAGTGGTTTTGTAAAAAAATTTACACAGTGCTCGCTTCGGCAGCACATATACTAAAATTGGAACGATACAGAGAAGATTAGCATGGCCCCTGCGCAAGGATGACACGCAAATTCGTGAAGCGTTCCATATTTTAAAAAAAAAAATTTACACAGTTGTGGGGGTGGAGGGGAATTCCATTTTGGCGGGGTACTCCCTCAAATATTTGATCAAAGTCTAATATCCAAATTTTAAAGAGTAATTCTACAACTTTACAAAAAACGATAACCAATTTTAAGAACAAGTGAAGGACTTAAGACATGTCACCAAGAAGAATATTTAAATAGCTAATAAGCATATGAAAAGATTCTCAAAGCTATTACGCACTACCAAACCAAAACCCACTGCCATCAAGGAATTCTGCCTCATTGTGCCTCTAGGTTTCTGAGACAGTAAATCTTTACAGGTGTAGACAGCCTCATCTTTCTTGTCTGGCTATGAACTACCACCTCTATGATTGGCTGCCCAATGCCTAACCTGGCACCTCCAGGGAATGTGGATCAAAACCACACCAAGACACATCTCACTTCCATTAGGATGGAAGTGATCAAAAGAGTAGATAACACATAAAAATTGTTGCTCAGGTTGTGGAGAAATGTTGGTGGCATTTTAAGTCACACAGCCACCGTGAAAAACAGTTGAAAGGTACATCCAAAAGTTACACACAAAACTACGTTATGACCCAGCAATTCTACAATTAGATACACACCCAAGAGACCTAAAAACAGTAATATGAACAGACATATGTACACCAATGTTAACTGCAGCACTAGTCATAATAGCAAAAATATCCATCAACTGAAGAAGAATGGATAAGCAAAATGTATATACACACAATGAATTATTACTCAGTCATAAAGAGAAATGAGGTCCCAGTGCATAGCACAACATGGATGAACTTAGAGGACATTATGTTGAATGAAATCATTCACGAGAGGGCAGACACTGTACAATATCACTTATATGAAATAAGCAATATACAGAAACAAAGTGGTTGTCAGGGATGAAAGAAAGGGAAAAAGGAACATGCCTTGAAGGTATGTTCATGAGGATGGTATAAATTGAAAAAACTAAAAATGGTTTCACAACTTGAATATAATCAATATCATTACATGTGCATGTACAAATTGATGGAATATTTATGTCTTTGTAAGTATGAAAAAATATATATATACTTATTGTAGGAAGTTTAAAAATACAAAAACTATAAAGGAAATAAAATTTCCAGCAATTCTTTAATTAAAAAACAAACAAACATTGGTGTAGTGGTTACACGTTAGGCTGTGATCCACAAGGTTGGCAGTTCAAAACTACCAGCTACTCTTATAAATAGTTACAACCTTGGAAACTCACAGGAATAGTTCTAACCTATTCTATAGGGTACCTATTAGTTGGTATTGACTCAATGGCAGTGAGGATTTTTTAGTGAATTCTTAAGATCTCTTTGTTTTTCTTTTCCATATTAATAGATTTTTTCTAAACATATACATCTTATATAAACATTTTTTAAATGATAGGAATTTATCTTTATATATTGAGAACTTTTACTATTCATTTATGAATTGATCCTAAAGTAACCCATACTTCTAGGCTTGGAGATTTCAATTTTCAGCTATACTGTAATAACAAATCCTTTTATATATAAATACTAATCATGATTTCATAATGTATATTTGTCTATACCCTTGATTATTTCCTTAAGATGTGTTTTTGGAAGTATAAGTACTATGATCAAAGGCCTTAAAAAACTCCAGTATAAATTGGTTGTTTATTATTTTCTGACTTTAGGCTTCTTGATACATCCTATCTCATATAATAGAACGACTGAAAGTGGTCAGCGGGTAAATAAGTATCAAGGGGACACATGAGTATCAAGAGAAAATATAACCCAAATTACAAAATAAGCTTACAGGTAAGGTGATGTTGTCCAGCAACAGATAAAAGTGAGATGCTATAATAAGTTTACTCAATTATTTTTATCCTAATTTTTCTAAAGATGACAAAAATCATGAAAACTTAAAAGTTTTGTTAACTTACCTAATTTCTTTAGAGAAAAATCTAGTACTGAACCAGGTAGCCATCCTCCTCTTTGTGGAAAGAGGTTCCCAGGGTACAATTTTATATTTCTTTGTTGTCCAGGAAATACATATTAATTTGCTTTGGCAAATGTAGGTCTAAGATCCGGGGTCTTTTTGTTGGTTTTTGAAGAGTGGCAATTGAACACTAAGCTCATTATGACAAAATGTCATCTTTGTTAGGTTTGAATAATCTATAAAGTATAGATTCTTAAGTTTATTGATTTTCTATTTGTTTAACCATGTCTTGCATGGGGATGTGTTTCTAAAGAGTCTAAAGTGTAAATACTTTGATATACAATCCATACAAAGAAGGTTTGTTTCAAATGGCTGACAATCTTAAACACTTTTAGCTTAGTAATGTATCTATTTTTATATTATAAATCTGCACTAACTCTTCCAATGTTAAAAAAAGACACTATTTTACTTATGCATATCTATTAGAACACATGAATTTATGATGACAAATGAAACAGACAACCATTAAATATACATGCCCAGGGAATTATCATTCAGATTCAGAAATAGAATATCACTAGCCCTCTTTGTGCCAACTCTCAATCATTACCCACTCCCAGAATATCTAGCATCCTGATTCATTCAAAAAGATTAATTTTGCCTGTTTTTATACTTTATATAAATTAAATCTGTATATATCCTTATATGTTTGGCTCCCTTTGCTTAATACTATGCTTGCTAGACTCATCCATATTGTTCTAGTTGAAAAACAGAAGACACAGTAAAACATACTGTATGATTCCACCTATACCAAACTTTATAAACATATATCCACAAAATCTAATTTAGAGTGAAAGAAAATGATCAGTGGTTTCCATGGGCTTGGTGGGGAAGGTGACTGTGCAAGCATATTGAAGTCATAAAAAGATTCTGTATCTTGACTATGGAAGTGGCTTCAAAGAATCAGTGCAAAGATGGATGTATTACCTGAGTCTACTATTTTTCCCTATCCTCAAACACTACATGCCATAGCAGGATAACTTTCTCTCTGAAAAAGAGTCAAAAATTTAAACATCTACTCTTAGTGTATAGCCCAATAATTATCTTTGCCAGGATCAATTGTACAGTAAATGGAAAAGAAAAGACCAAAAAAAAAAAAAAGACAGTGTTACCCTTACGCTTGGGAAACCTCTCAGATGAAATGAGAATTAATGTGTTTATATATATGCCATACGTGACCATACTGACACTACTACAAATGAGATAACAATGTAGGGAGAGCTAAAAAGTCTAAGCAATACTATTGTTAGCATTCTAGTTGTGTAATTTAGGTTAAGCATTGTTTAAAAATCTATATAGGCCTCCCTTAAATTCTTCATAAAGAATAATGGATTTGTGGTGGTACAATGGCTAAACGCTCTGCTTTTAACCGAGAGGCGGGCAGTTCAAACTCACCGGAGAAAAGACCTGGGGACCTTCCTAACAGCCTAGGAAACCCTATGGGCAATCCTGTCATATAGGGCATACAACACTAAACGTTTAAGGGAAAGAGTTTCATTTTACACACAAAGAAACTGAAACTTGGAGAAATGAAATAGTTACTCAAAATCAATGAGACAAAAGTGACAATAGGCACTGAACCTATCTTGACTCCAAGGTTCTTTGGTAGCTTGCCATTTTGTCCCTAATTATGCTATTCATGCCACCATTGACAATACAGAGGCTCACGTATGTGAGTCATTAGAGATCAAAGAGAGCTAGCTGATTCTCTGTATACCTGAATCATAAAGGCCAGGAGTAATACCAGGAAAACAATTTTGAACACATCGGAAACTTTATTTAAAGTCTACACAATGGCACTCCGACAACACTTAAAACAATTATAGGAATTGCAAGGGCTATTGGTTCCAAATAATTTTCTTTATCTTTACTCCCTTATCTTCCCCAAAGTCCCTAATTTTACTACATATCAAGTAAAGACATAAAATGGGTATTAGAAAACCCCTTTTTACTGGAAAAAGTTCAGCTACAGCAGTTCTCTTTTCATATTCTTTTTCTCATCCAGTTGTTTACTTTTTTTGGTATAATTCTTTTCAATCTTAAAGTTCTATACTTTTCTTAGTACTCATCTAGCATGTATTTTATTCAAAATACAGTAATTTTGTTAATTTTTGAGACGCATCATAATAAAGTAATGGTAACAGTAAGTTACTATACTAGACTGAATTTATATTTTCTAATTATAAGACAAAAATATTCATTAATCAATTACCCTGTTTAGAAATATATAGATTATTAGCTTTCCAGGAAAAAAACAAATTTCAGCTTGAATGAAGTATATTTTTTCAAGGAGTAATGCGATTTTTCGTCCTACCTGAAATCGCATGCTGTGGTAAATTCTGCTCCTCCACCCATTGCCCGGCCTTGAACCAGAGCAACACTTATTAAAGGAAGTCTAGTATTGGAAAAAAGAGGGCAGATGGCTGTTAATTTACAAGTGGTAGAAAAAGATTAAAGAAAGTAGAAAGTAAAATAATTGCATGGTGTTAATAACACAAGTCAAAAATCAGCGGAACCCTGAGACTGCACCATTAATTAAATATATATATTAAAGACATAATTCATACTAAATGCCATGAATTTATCAAAACACCTCCCTGAACCAGTGTATGTTTTTAAAAAAAACTGTAGTCACAATGTAATTTTCTTCCAAATAGACATGTTAGTATATTAGTATATTATCACAGCTCCTGGACCTTCTAAGCAGGTATCAATCAAGAATAAATCTATGCATCAGACAGTGCAAGATATGACAAAATAATAATTTGTAAATTATCAAGGGTTCATGAGGAAGGATGGGAGCGGGGAGGGTGGGGAAAAAGTGAGGAGCTGAAAATATAAATCTAAAATATTTTGAAAATACTTTTTTGTAAGCACCACTCAAAGGTTTTCAGTGGCTAATCCTCCAGAAGTAGACAACCTATCCTTTCTTCCTAATCTGTTCTTAATCTAGAACCTCCTCAGAAATCTGTTCACCATGGGTAATCCTAGTGGTATTCTAGTATCACAGCAGCATGCAAGCTTGCCAAAGTACAATAAGATGGACAGGTAAGATTGAAGCTTTTTTAAAAATTGTTTTATTAGGGGATCATACAACTCATCACAATCCACTCATACATCATTTGTGTAAAGCACATTTTTACATTCATTGCCCTCATCATTCTCAAAACATTTGCTCTCCACCGAAGCCCCTGGTATCAGCTCCTTATCCCCACCCCCACCCC